TCGGAGCCGCCCTCAGCGCCGGCAGAGGCAGTTTGGGATTCCCGCGGGCGACGACGCCGACCTGGGGCAGGAGCCGCCCGCGCCAGCGCCCGCGCCGGCAGCGGCCCAGCCATGGGCGCTGCCGCGCAGTTCCGCGCGGCTCGACGCAACCTCGACGCAGCGGAGATGGGGCGCGCAGGGCGGGGCCGCGCGACCAGCTGGAAGTGCAGCAGGAGGGCGCGACGTTTCTGGTTGCCGATGCGACGCCGAAGGGGTGGGGCTTGGACGGCGAGGCCGCGGAGTTCTACTTGGGCCGCGAGGCGTGCTGCGCGGCCAGCCAGCCCACCGAGGGGCGCATGGCAGCGGAGAACAGGGGCCAGTTCGCGGATGCGTGCGGCGGAAGGAGCCGTGAAGTTTTTCCCGGAATGGGCAGAAACCCAGGGTTCTTTTTTAGCTGTTTATCCCCGGAATCGACGGCTGTAGGGCGGGCGATTATTTGCGATAAATCACGAGGTCGCGTAGGGCCGTCGGGATGCTTGCTTTCGCGTGCGCAGGTCTTGAGGATGTCTCGAGCGAGACTCATGGTTTCACGTTTCCAGGTTGGCCAGGCAGACGTCTAGCATGGGGAGTTGTTGATAATGTCTCGAACCAAACGCCTGTTCTCACGTGTCCAGGTTGCCCAGGCGGATGTCTGGCATGAGGATGTGTTGAGGAAGTTTCGATCGAGGCGCTTGTTTGCGCGTGTCCAGGTTGCCCAGGCGGATGTCTAGCGCGAAAATGTGCTGAGAACGTCTTGAGCGAAACGCTTGTTTTTACGTGTCCAGGTCGCCCAGGCACAGCGCAGCCTTTGGCGCGGCACATCAGTTGATACCCTTAGCACTGCAGCCTGGCATGTTGCCGAGCACGTTCCGCGGAGCGTCCCGTGGCGAGTCCCGCCGGCACGTCGCGCGGTGCTTCCCCTGGCACGTTCCGGGGCGGGCGCGTCCGTTGGCAGGTTCCGTAGCGCGTCCCCATGGCACGTCCCGCAGTGCGCCCCCGCGGCGCGTCTCCTGGCGCGTCGCCTGGCACGTCCCTTGGGACGTTCTGCGGCGCTTCCTCCCGGCATGCCCCCCCGTCGATAAGTTTTAGGACAGCTACCGTCTGCTCAGGCAGCTCGAGCTTAAGATTCGGAGCAGTTTGGTCAGGACCCGGATGCAAAGATGACTCTGACTCGGTCCATAATGCTATACAGAGCTGAGTCGCGGCATGGCACATCGCAATTCCGCACGGCGGAGCACAGCCGTCGACGCGGTACATCAAGATCGATGTACTCAACATTGCGTTTCGGCACGTTCTTTGGCGCGTTCTGTGGCGAGACCCCCTGGCACGTCGCGCGGCGCGTCCCCTGGCACGTCCCGCGGCGCGTCCATCGGCGCGTTCCGTAGCGCGTCCCCTTGGCGCGTCCCGCATTGCGTCCACATGGCAGGTCCCCTGGCACGTCGTCTGGCACGTCCCTTGGGACTTTCTGCGGCGCGTCCTCCAGGCATGTCTCCCCGTCGAGAAGTTCTGGGGCAGCTACTATGTGCTTAGGCAGCTCGAGCTTAGGGTCCAGATCAGTTCGGTCAGGATTCGGATGCAAAGGAGGACTCGATCCACAACGCCATGTAGAGCACAATCGCGGCATGGCACATCGCCATTCAGCACGGCGCAGCACAGCGCAGCCCTCGGCACGGTGCATCGAGGTCGATGCAGTCAGAATTACGTGTGCCCGTCGCCCAATCAGTTTTTTTTTGGTTTGTTGTGAAACGTTGCCATGCCTTACATGTCCAACTCTATTCCTTTCAGGGCTCGTGGGTCGATCGCGTTTCGAGGGCCAAGTCTGGGGGCAGGGCGTGAGCGAGATTGCCGACCCCAGCGAGGTTTTGAGGGCGCGCTTCCAATCTAAGCGGTCCAAGAACGCCGGTGGCAGCGACAGGGCCAAGGCGCGACTTGCCATCCAATTTTTCTGTGGCCCAAATGCGGTGGCAGGTGGGTTGGCAACATTCTCGCTTGCAAAGACACCTGCGAAGACACAACTGAGCTGGGCCCTCATCGCGATGCTCAGCCGCGTCTATGATTGGAACCTGGTCGCAGCCGACGTCAGCGCCGCGCCCTTGCAGGGCAAACCTTCGGACCGCGGCGCTTCTGCATTTCTACCAGCGGAGGCGTGCAGGATTGTCGGCTACGCGCCGGGTGCGAGGATGAGGCTGCTAGAGAGCATGTGCGGCTTGAAGAGGCGACCGACCGCGTGATCGACTGCGGCTTCGTTATTCACCTGCCGAATCGCCGCTCGTTCCTGAGCTACCGCGTCCAGGAGGGCGCCCGGGAGGAGAACTTCGACAGTGATCGGGCTGCGCATGGGCGACGTGCTCATGGGGCGGCAGCAACGAGAGGGGCGAGTCGTGCTTCGAGTCAAGGTCTGGGAGCTCAGGGAGGTGTTCAAGTTCAGGGCGCGGGAAAATGCGGAGAGCTGCGCGTTCATTTTGCAGGATAGGCGTCAACGGGTTCTTGCGGCAACGAGCTTGGCCGAAGTCCGGATGGGCATCAATTGTTGAGTTGTGAGGCATGCGTCGAGTAGTTGAAGCCCATCGCGGTCACCAAGGCTAGGTCGAATGACCACAAGTTGGCCATTGCCGAGGAAGAGCGACGACATGTTCGTGTGCTGATGGGCAGTCTAGCGTGGCCCACCAACCAGGCAGCGCATGGCCTGGCAGCGCCGGCCCAGGCCAGGGCATGATTAACGGCGGCGCCATCGCGCAGGACCTCATCGAGGCCAACAAGACGCTGAGGTTCGCCGTGCCAGAGAGTGACGCGGGCCATCTTCCCCAAGATATGCAACGCATCCCGACGACGTGGCTCTCGCATGCGTGACGGATGTCGCGCGGGCGGCGTGGGCGGGCGGCAGTTCGCGGGGCGGCAATCTGACCATGGCCGCCCCCGAGGACTCGCTGAAGGGCGCAGCCGACAAGCGCGTGGCGGTCGACTGGCGAGCAGGTCTTCGTTGGCCAGCGAGGCCCATGTCGCCGCGGGCGGAGCCGACGCTCTGGAGTGCGTGAGGGCGCGCTGCAGCGTGATGCTCGACCCGAGCAGGCGTCTGAGGCTCAACGCGCAGGTGCTCGGCAAGAGCGCGCTCGTGGTGGGCGCAAAGGCTCTCAGCGACGCCGCTCAGAATCCCGCGTGCACAATGTCGGAGACGAGCGGACTGGCGTCGAGATGCAGGAGTTGAAGCGCCGGATGGCGAGTGCGACCGGCTGGCGCTGGGTCAGCTCAGAGCGCCAGAGTGCCGACGGGTTTGCGACGCTGGCGGCGCGGCAGCCTCTGGCATTATGTATGTCGACAATTTCCTGGCCGCCAAGAAGAATGGCGCCAAGGACAATCAGCTGGAGGAGAGTAAGTTCACCACTCCGAAGCCGAAGGCCGTGGAGAAGGCAGCGGCGACGGCCGGCCTCATTGGCGCGGTGGCTTCAGCCAGCAACGTTGACAAGTACAAGGCACGAGGGCGACGGCCTTGTGAGTTTCGTTCGCGACGCCCCTGCGATCGTGATCAGCAGTCCTATGACGACCTCGATGAAAGTTGATGATGAATGCTGGCGTGGCAATCATACTCGTGGCCCGAGTTTGTTTTGCGAGGTGCCGTGAGTGGGCGCGGACAACGGAGCGCCGTGACAGGGCGCAGACTATTGAGCGCCGTGACACGGGGCAGACTGCGGAGCGCCGCCACAGGGCACAGCCTCCAGATATCATCCCCGGCGACAGCGAGGCCAATCTCATAATCGGGCTACTGGGGTCTTTGGAACAGGGGCCGTTTTTTCTCGTGCCTTGAGAGCAATCGTTTGCAATATTTGGCTTGCCACGATGCAATAGTTGCGCCTGACCGTGCAATATGGCGCTATGCTTGAGCCCGCGGGCGCAATAGTTCGCAATCGTTGCGCGCATTAGTTGCGCGCAGTATCTCCACGCAGCGAACGATTGCAGCTGCGGCTTGCGGCCCCATTCCTAATGCCCCATTTCGCCGGAACCAGCAAGACGAAGCATAATAAACATGAGCGGACCTATTGCAACGCTGGAGCGATGAGCCAGGCTACCTACACTAGAGTAGGCAAGGAGAGAGGAGGCCGCTACGTCCACCAGACCAGGGGCTTCGTCGTGGCCTGGGAGGTCACCGGGGAGTTCGCGCAGAACTGAAGGACTTGCGGTAATTGAGGCGCCCTGGCAAAACCCGTTTTGCATGTTCTTTTTCTTGTCTCACGTTTCTTCTCTCCCCCTTCTTGCAATGTAGCAGAGGTCCACCGATCCGAGGTCAGACCGCTCAGAGGTTTGAGGTTCCCACTTCAGAGGTGGACCGGCTTTCGAGCTGGTTTTGTGTGTTGATGGAAGAATGGTTTGTTCACGTTGCACCAGGTGCGTTTCTCCTTCCAACTGGTTTGAGTTGTATTCCATACGACGTATGTTTCGGAGGTTGTCCGCCTGTGGCCCCGCCCGCCTGTGCCCTGTCTCCCCAATTAGAGCTGTGCGTCGCCCGCTTAGCTTTTACCGGAAGAGGTTCGCTCTCGCCCCGCAGACCAACACATGTTTCGGAGGTTGCGTGACTAGGATGTTGGATGTGCCCCCCCGTTTCAGCACTATGGCATGCGCAGTGCAGCAGCAAGCAACATACATAAAGCAAGCGTGTTGGCATGCACCATTGGCTATTTTAGTTCGAGAGGCCCTCGCACTTACCTAGAAGGTACGCTCATATCTCCCCAGCGCGCAGGGTGATCGTCGAGGAGGGGTTCGAGTGCGATCTGGCAGGTTGGCGATCTGAGTCGAAATTTGATCGGCGACGTCGCGTGCAACCGAATCGTTGACAGCTGGCAATCCTGCGGCAGGGCAGGGGGCGGTAGGCCGCACCGATGCCGGTGGCGCTGCGGGCAGCGGCTGGGCTGGGCGTCGAGCGGCGGCGAGCCGCCGGCTTTTCGCTCCCCGATGCCCAGCTCCCCCACGGGAGAAAGTCCCGCACGCAGCGCTCCCGTCTGCGCGGCTGGCAGCTGCTCCTTGCCGGGTGCTCAGTCGGGTGGGGGGGGACAGCAGATGGCGACGCGGTTTATGGATCTCCACCGCCGCTGGCCAGGCCCATCCTGGGCCCACGAGCGGTGCGTGCGCCCCCCGTGGCTCGGCCAAGGAGGCACCGACGCCGCTCCTGGGCCCACGATCGGCCTGGCCAGCGGCGGTGGATCTGCAGAGAGCCCGTCGCCCTGCGGGAGCAGGGTGCGGGGCAGCCGGGCATGCGGGCGGGGGCCGTGCGAACGCGCGGAAGCTCGGCCGCGGGGGATTCGAAGCTGGCCTTTTTCCAGAAGCCTTGGATGGCAGCGCCAGGATCGGTGCTGATGTGTAGTTGGCGGTGCACGTGTGGGGCCCGGAGGATGGGGCGATTGGGGCCCCGGGTAGAGTGAGTGGTGACAAGTTGGACCTTCAATTTTTAGATTTTTTTCGTCCTTGGGGATCGGGGCCAGAGAGCTGCCCCCCCCCTTCCGGGAAAGTGGCCGCGCAAACGGTCGCGGACACTCGACGACACAACACAACCAGACAAATTAATATTTCGGAAACATCTAAACGGGAAGTCACCTTCTTCGAAGCCCTGGATGGGCAACGCCAAGGTCGGTGCGGGTGTGTGGTTGGCGTGCTTCGACCGCAGTCTGGGCCAGAAAGTCGTCCTCCTCGCTAGGGAGGGGGCCGCGCGAAGGGGCACGGAGGCGAGATTTCGCCTCGCGCCGCACTCGGCGCGGGAGAGTGCGAACTCTTCTTAGGGGAGTCGTAGAAGTCGAGTCCGTCAGAACTCGGGTTTGACGACGTTTTTTTGATGGACCGTGCTGGATTTTGACGGTCCAGTCTTTGTGGGACGTCTGCAGGGGGGGCTCGCGTCAAACTTCCTGGTGGAACTCGTCGTTTTCTTGACGGCTTCGTCTGGCCAGCCCGCGCCCTCCGAACCAAAGTCTCATGTCTCCCCGATTGCGAAGGCTTTACGGCTGGCACCGCCGACCCTGAAGGGGGACGACGACGACGACGACGACGACGACGACGACGACGACGACGACGACGACGACGACGACGACGACGACGACGACGACGACGACGACGACGACGACGACGACGACGACGACGACGACGACGACGACGACGACGACGACGACGACGACGACGACGACGACGACGACGACGACGACGACGACGACGACGACGACGACGACGACGACGACGACGACGACGACGACGACGACGACGACGACGACGACGACGACGACGACGACGACGACGACGACGACGACGACGACGACGACGACGACGACGACGACGACGACGACGACGACGACGACGACGACGACGACGACGACGACGACGACGACGACGACGACGACGACGACGACGACGACGACGACGACGACGACGACGACGACGACGACGACGACGACGACGTGGATCTGAGTCCTCAGGGATTCTGTTTGGGGTCTCTTCGGAGCGCTCTCGGAGGCCTCTGGGGGACAGTTTTGGGCCCCTTGGGAGCATCTTGGAGGCCCCTTGGGACTCTTGGGAGTCTCTCGGGGCTTCCTGGGAGCCTCTTGGGGGCCTCTTGGAGCACCTTTAGGGCCTCTTAGGGGCCTCTTGGGGCCTCCTGTGAGCCTTTCGGGGCGGAGGGCTCGAAATGTCCGTTTGGTTCCCCTGTCCGGGCACCCTCTGGGAGCCCTCTTGGGCCGTCCTGTAGGCGTTTTGGGCAGTCTTCGGGCCCTCTTTGGCCCGTTTCGAGACCCTCTTGGAGGCCCCTGGGGGCGATCGTTGGAGCCTGTTGGGCTTTTTTGGAGCATCACGGAGCCGAAAAGGCGAGAACGCCCAAAACTAAAAAAAAAAAAAAAAGAACTTGGGAAATCAAAGAATTTTGCCTCTTGGGGCTCTCTTGGGAGTGTTCTTCGAGGCCTCTTGGGGCGCCTTCAAGCCTTCTTGGGCCGTCTGGAGGCCGTAAAGACGCCTTGGACCGGTCGTTCGGCGATTCGGGGTCCTTTTGGACCGTCTTGGGAGCCTCTTGGGGCACTCTTGGCTCGTCTTGGGACTTGTTTGGGTCCTGGGCCTCCCCAGAGAGGGTGGTATTCTGACGCGGGACCCCCCCGAGACCTCCCCCGGGAGCCTCCCCCGGGACCACCCCCGGGACCCCCCGCCCTCCCCCCTGGCGGGGAAGGGATCAAAGGGAAGGGGCTTCCTTCCGACTCGATTACGACGTTGCTCAGCTTCATTTTGGCTGGCGCGCTTGAGGAGGAGGGCCCAGGAAAGGGCAGGGTGGCGACGGTCTCAGGGAAAGAGAGGGAGCGTCGACGGCGACGGCGACGACGACGACGTCGACGAAGACGAGTCAAACGGAACAGCCTCTTCCACACGCCTCCTCCTCCTCCTCCTCCTCCTCCTCCTCCTCCTCCTCCTCCTCCTCCTCCTCCTCCTCCTCCCCTCCTCCTCCTCCTCCTCCTCCTCCTCCTCCTCCTCCTCCTCCTCTCCTCCTCCTCCTCCTCCTCCTCCTCCTCCTCCTCCTCCTCCTCCTCCTCCTCCTCCTCCTCCTCCTCCTCCTCCTCCCCCCTCCTCCTCCTCCCCCCCGCCTCCCCACGACGTCGACGACGACGAGTCAAACGGAACAGCCTCTTCCACACGCCGACGGGGTCGGCGGCCCCCCGACCCCGAGTTGTGGGTCTCCCCGACTTCTGGGTGAGCTGGCGAGTCCCTGGCCGCGCGCAGGAGGGCCTGGGGCAAAGCGATGGGGGAGGGGGGCCGCCTTCGGCGAGCAGTCCGAGGCCAGGCCACGCTCAGACCGCCGAAGCGCCATTCCACGGCCGGCAGTGCTGCAGGAGCTCCTGAGCAGAACCGTCTCCGCGGGCGACTTGTGTGCACCGTAGCGCTGGCGCCTTCCGAGGCCTTGTCGATATTCTCGACCGAGGAATGGTACGGTGCATAGTTTTTGGCTTTCGGAGCCGAACCACCACGCACCGTACCGCGTTGGGGCGTGGCCGGAAGGGAGTCCAAACATGGTACAGTGCATGGGCGCCGTTTTCGTATACCAGATGTGATCGACCGATCTCAGGCCTTTCTGGTGGCATCGGGGGTGCGCTTCGCAATTTTGACCGGAAGTCAGAAAGGGGGCTTCCCAGACGATCTGCGGCGAGCGAGGGGTGTACGTGAGAAGGAGAAGGCCCTCTCAGAAGGCGGCGGGGCTTCTCAGGAGCCCGCGCGCCTTCTGAGAAGTTTTTTGCGTCCTCGGGGAAGGCTCAGACAACTTTTCGGAAGGCCGGGAAACTTCCGAGCCCTCCGAGAAGGCCCGCCCCTCCTCACTTCCCCCCCGCGGGCGCGCGGCCTTTTTCACGAGGCCCTCTCCCCTCGCGCTGCCCCCTCCTGGCGCCCCGCGTTCGACCCCTCCTCCTCCTCCTCCCCCAGTTTCTCGTCCCTCCTCCCCCTCCTATCTCTTTCTCACCCTCTTCCCTCCTTCTCCCTCCTCCTCCTCCTCCCTCCTCCCTCCTCCCTCCTCCTCCTCCTCCTCCTCCCTTCTCCATCCTCCTCCTCCTCCTCTTCCTCCCCCTCCTCCTCCTCCATCCTCCTCCTCCTCCTCCTCCTCCTTCTCCTCCTCCATCCTCCTCCTCCTTCTCCTCCTCCTTTTCCTCCTCCATCCTCCTCCTCCTCCCTCCTCCTCCTCCTCCTCCTCCTCCTCGTCCCCCCCTCTCCTCCTCCCTCCTCCTCCTCGCACTGGTCTCCGCAGCCCGTGCAGGCGTGTGCGGTAGGTTCGGCGACGGCTTGCGGGCTGCGGCGGGCAGCGGCCGCGCAGCTCGGACCCGGGGAGCGTCCCTCGGAGGAGGACAGACCACGCATACGTAAATCATTGGCTAATTTTGGTCATGGTAATGAATGAACGCGCGCTCTAAAAACGAATTATGGAAAAAACGACCATTTACTTGAGCGAGGAACGGATTTACTAAATTGCGCCGCCGAATCAAGACAACATATCATTTAGTAGACGCAAGAACCGGTTTACTAAATTCCAAAGCAGAGTTTCTGAATCAGGGGCCGTTTTTCTTAATCCCAGATAGTGTCATTACCATGGCCTGAGTGGCTCGATCAGTAAAGATTCGGCAATTCCCAGGAGCAAGATATGGATCATGCGGAACATGTGGAGGGGAAGGCGCACCTCCAGAACGCGTGGAAGATGTGGGGCATCCTGGGATTTTTGTGTTTACTGATGTGTGTGTGTGTGTGTGTGCGTGTGTGTGTGTGTGTGTGTGTGTGTGTGTGTGTGTGTGTGTGTGTGTGTGTGTGTGTGAGTGTGCGTGTGCGTGTGTGTATGTGTGTGTGTGCGTGTGTGTGCGTGTGTGTGTGTGTGTGTTTGTGTGTGTGTGTGTGTGTGTGTGTGCGTGTGTGCGTGTGTGTGCGTGTGTCCCTGGGGCCCTCTGCGGTCTCCCCCCGGCCCCGCAGGCGTCCGACAGGGCTCCCGCGGAGGATCGGGCGGGGCGCCTCGTCCTCCAGGGGTCCCGCGGCGGGTCGGGTGGGACAGCCGTCGGGCGGCTCTCGGAGCGCTGCGGAGCGCCTCCGAGGAGGCCGCGGCGCCCGAGGCAACCTCCCGAGCCGCCAGACCTGAGAGATTCGGGCGAAGAGAACTATGCACATGTACTGATCCTGGCAAGGCCCATCCTTGACCCAGGATCGGTGCATATGCCTTCCTGGCCAAGGTATGAGGGCGTATGCACCGATCCTGGGCTCAGGATGGGCCTGGCCAGAATCGGTGCATGTGCATAGTTCTCTTCCCTCTAGAGATGCCCGACTTACCGGGCGGGTGGCAATAGGGGGTGACCCAGATGGGGGGACCTCAATGGGGGATGGAGAAGGGCCCCACTGCCACCCGCTCGAATGTGTCCCTATCCGACTCTGTCCCTGTCTGATAGCTTCGCGGTCGGTGTCGGTCACCGGGAGTGCCCCCCCGAACGACGCAGCCCGCGGAGCCATGGCGGGCCAGGGGCCGATGGGGGAGGCGGGGTGC